TTTTTATTTTGCTAAATGTACCCATGCTAATTATATGTACCCATTCATGTAAAACTTTTTAATCTTAAAATGTACTCATTCTTAAATATACAAAATTGTTATATGTAAAATGTACCATTTTTTTAATATAAACTATATTCAATTTTTTTCTAATCTATTTTTAAACTTATATGGGTACATTCTTTTTTCTTTGATTTTAAAATGTATCTATGTCAAGTTTAACCGAAGAAATTTACTAATGTTATTAAGCTTAATATCTTTTTTTTTTTTTTTGTGATTTTGAAGAATATACCCATGTTTTGATTTTTTTGGTTAATTTTGATGAATGTACCCATGTTTACACACACACACACACACAATAGTAGATTATATTTTAATATTTTTAATCCCACAAATTATGGTTTTTTATTTAAAATCTCATTTATATAAACAACTAAAATTTCTAATTTTTAATTTAAAAAAAATAGTAACGTACATAAAAATAAATTATCACATTAATTTCAGGGATCTCAATCAAAAATTAAAAACTAACAAGGTTTCAATCAAAGAATATTCATGACTAAGGACCGCATCCAAAGTCTCCATTTATATTATGACATTGGTATATTGTAAAAATTTTGCAATTTGAAATGAACAGTAGTTGAAAGGAATCATTGACCTCTCTTTTCTAATTAAATATTATAACACAAAAATAATATAAAATCAAAAAGTTAAAGGCAAGAAAAGAGCAGTATTGCAGTGAAGAGAATAAACAAGATCTTCGCAGTCATGGAAAAGCAAAAGCTAAGCAAGTGACATACCTCAAGGATGTTCTGTGTTTACTTTTTCCAAATTAAAATATAACCTATGATCAAATTTTCAATAAATGAAGTGACTTTAATCTGGAAGACCCACAAAAGCCATAAACTTTAGTCAAATACCGCACACCAGAAACCAGAAAGCATGTGAGTGTGACAGTAGCCTCAGCAGAATCAAGTAGAAAACGCCAACAAACATAATTCCAAAGCAAAATTCACATATGGGTAATTAATAAAATTAATAAGGATAAATGCAATTAACCCCTAAAGCTAGAGACTTTACGAAGCTTGAGCTAATTCGGTGAAATGGGTAATTAAGATCAGTAATTATGAGTAGCATAGTAGGATTTTTATTTAATTAATTACCGGCCAAGAAACACAATTCCAGAGCTAAAGCAACAAACTTTATGAACCTGAGATAATTAGGTGAAATGGTAATTAAGATTTATCAGTAATTGTGATTAGAAGAGCAGGGTTTAACTAATTAATTACCAGCCGAGAAAAGAGAAGGCAACGGGAAGCACCAAGGCCTGGAAGCCAACGCCGGCATTGAGGTTGTGAAACGCAGCGTAATGAGCGTTGCCGTTGCGGGACTCGGTAATGGGAAGCCACGCGTCCTGAGGGTTGAGCTTGGTGAGATGGCCCACCTCCTCCAAGTATCCCTTCATGTTGACGAGCACCCTCTTCATCGGCGTACCGATGGGGCTGAGGAACCTCGGCGAGATGAACGACGTCGGAGTCCAGGCCGTCGACGACTTCGCCTCCTTGGACGGCGGACGAGGCGACCTCTGCCCAGATGGGGTCTGTATCTCCGGCGTGGACACCCCGCGTGGGGTCGCCGGAATGGATATCAGCTCCGTTTCCGGCCTCTCGTCCATTTTTACTTCAGGTTCTTTAATGCCTTTTGTGTTAATGTCAGAGAGAGTTGCCCTGCTGCTCTGATATATACTAGAGGTATACGAGAAGCTCTATCTGTGTTTGTGTGTGCGTGTGTGTGTGAAAAATGGCACTTTTTGCTTTTTGCTTTCAGTGTTGTGTGTCAGAAGGTCAGTGATGATCAGAAGGAGCGTGGGGCCTTTGAGTGAGGGAGTGAGAGATTCACAACTACTGAGACTCAATGTGAAATGAAATGGTTGATATGATATCATATGACATAACGTAGGAAGAGAAGGATGTGAGTGAGGAGGAGCTTCAATTTAAACAAAATTAATTACGGTTAATCTTGCTTAATAAATCGTAATCCGTTTCTTTTAATGAAAAGTAGTTACTTTGTGGAACACATGGCATGGCAGACCCGAAAATAAGTGACGGTGTTACCATTTGGGTAAAGTGGTGAGCAAAAACTAAGTTTCAGAAAATAAGTCAACAAAGTATATCAAGTTGATACTCGTTTTCATGTACAATTTCATTATATATGTAGGTAGAGATAGAAACAAACAGACATATGAACAACACAACGAGTTCAACCATTTCAACTATGCTTAACCTTTTAGAAAATAAGTTAACAATGTATATCAAGTTAACATTCTTTCAGTTCTATCATGCACGTGGAGTGAGAGATAACATGCGCAAATGAAATAGTGCACGGCATCCTACTAAAATGGGCAACGAAGATTTAGTTTTTGGATTTTTGAAACTCTAATACTACTAAACGCGAAAGCTTAAAGTTCCATACCATGTTTTACTTTATTTTTATGAAAGGGTGGGGGATAAGGAAAGCTTGTGAATTCGTTTGTTGGCGGGAATCATGAACATTATTTGAGATGGGTCCTAGAAAGTAGGTCCGGCCTCCGGAATCTCAGGTTCTTCAGTGTTTGGCATTGCACGCGACGATTGGCGGTGTATGCGAGATTGCGAGGTTTGGTGATCATTTCATTGGTCTGTGTTGGCCTGTGGATGATTAACTTACAAGTCACGAGTCATGAACATGTAAGCGTGACTGTTTACTGCAAATCCTTGCGATGCGCGTGAGGTTGGAGTTGACAAGAACCTGGAAACGGGAGGTCCTGCAGCGCAGCACTTCACCCGATATCTGAACGGCAGTGGCGGTAACTTTGAATAAAAGGCGGTAATTTTCATACAACAATACAGATAGAAAATGCCAGATTTTTACCCGACACAAACCACGTGCTTCCCATCTCGCGTTCGCTGCTGCCTGCTGCTGCACCACCTTCCATTTTTTAAATATTTTTCTGGTTTTTGTTGGTAAACGGGGTAAAAAGCCAAGTATTTAGTGTCACGCATTAGAAATTAACTGAAACGCATGCGTACTAATTATCTGCTATCATATTTTTTGGATCATCTTCCGCATTGATTTTTAATTTAATTTTAATTTGTTTTTAACAATAAACGTCCCATGCGGATGTATAGTTGGTTAGCCGTCGTCAAGTTTCTCTCTTAGATATCCATTAGTACTAAGTTACTAACAAATGAATGAACATCCTCTTATGTGAGAATTTCAAAAATTTTTAAATCGTGTCTGTTCATCATACATCGTGCGATCAATTTTCGTCACGAAGAAGATCTGGAGAGGATCCTCATTCCTAACAAATACGTATTCAAGGGATACGCCTCCCTCCCCTCCCCTCCTCTCACATATTGTTTTTTGGTCTTATTGTCTCTATAAAAAAAATTAATATAAGATGTTGACGTGGTTAAACTGTAACCGTTCAAATAAGAGGGGATGGAAGGGGAGAGGATTAGGAGAGGAGAGAATCATCCTCCTAAGTACTGGTTTGGTACTGAGATGTTTTTATAAAAAGTGGGTATAAAAAAAACTGAGCTAAAAAAGGTGTTTGGTAAACTCTTAAAAATAACTCATTTTCACAATTTTTGGTCAAAAGAAGCTAAAAATGTGAATGAGCAAAAATGAGCTTATTCTTATAGCATAGCATAAACAATTTTTTTTAAAGCACAATAATACCAAATCAGCCCTAAATCTATACCTATAATTCATTTAATACTAGAGTGGTGCAATACTTGGAACCCAAGACTTTTGGTGCTCATTGGAGGACTCTATAAGAGGGACGGGGTCGGACTCACGAGAGAAAGATAGATCATACTGTTAGAGAGCCCCTCGTGTAATTTACATCAATATATACACAATACTACAGTTGACGAAGCCCAACTTTAAGGGCAAACCACTTTAACCTTGTTGTTAATCATTTAACTCTTTATTCCAATATACTTGTCTTTGTTGACTTTCTAATTTTAAGCGTTAACAATTCAAATTTTAAATTGTCTTGGCTTCTCTTCACCGCTCCACCCATTGTGAATAGTAATTCTCATGACAGTTACAATTCACCAAGTATTCATCGTATGAGATTGATTCAAAATAGGTTGTTATGGTTATTCATCCATTGTGTATAGTAACTGCCATGAAACTTGACTTGGGACTAGAATTGACATGGCTACTGCCAAGACTCGATCAGCCATGGCTTGAAGAAGGGGTGGAGGTGAATTTTGGATTGGATGTGTGATCTGGCCATGGCAAAAAAAAATCATGGGTGGACCTGCTCTAATGGGAGGAACCTACGAAATTTGTCGACACACAGGTCCAATATTAACACTAGGTTCAAATACTTGTATCTTAAGACCATCTCCAACCTTGGACTAAAAACCAAATTTTTTAGCCCGGAAAATTTGGCTTTTAACTCAGAAACATTTTTTCTGCTCCAACCCTTCTGCCCTAAAATTTTAGTCCGAAATTATTAAAGAATGAACTTAGGCTAATTTTTTTCTTAAATCAATTTTAAAAAAATAAATATGTAGATTATTGTAAATTAATTTTATGAACATTTTAATCTAAAAAAATTTAAATTCCGATAAACATTTGACATTTAGCCCGGGGGGAAAGCTGGGGGGTATTTGGCCCAGAAATAACATTTGGCATTTAGCCTAAAATTTTAACATGGGTTGGAGAGTGTTTAGGAGGGGGGGTAATTTGGCTTTTAGCCCAGGTTTGGAGATGGTCTAAATGCAGTATAAGATGGGGTCAAATATAAATGGGAGAAATTTTCTCATGTACTCAAAACATGATTCGGTAAGTACGTATCATAATATTATTAAAGAATTTTTTTTCAAGTGTCCCTGCACTTATTTAAGACACATAGTGGCTCGTGTATCGAAATTACTGAAAACTTTCTCTATATATGGGTCTAAAAAACAATATATGCTTAAGAATTAAATAAGGCGTCAGGAAAGGAAGCAAAGCACATATCATTTGAGATTTTCGAGTTTCAAGTTGCTTGAGCAATTTTCAAGAAAAAATTGTTTATGGCAACAATTATTTTCTTAATAGATTATGATTATATGATCAGTACACAGATCGCTTAAACGATAATGCATGTTTGAGAGAGGCGTTAATTATTATTTTCACACTAATTTCTGGGTTTGATGACTGCATGCATGGCATGGAGTTTGTGATTGGTGAAGATAGCGGTATCTTCTTCTTCGTCTCCTTCTCTTAGTCTCCACTCAAACTCCTGCACCAACCTTCCGATAGTTGTGCATACTATTAGCATTGCCTGAAGAGAACCAGCACACGCCCTCTTTCCACCTCCAAATGCCATTGTCTTCTGCAATTCCATTGGATCCCATTTTTCCTTCTCCAGAAATCTCTCTGGCTTCCATTCTTCTGGTATATCCCATTTGTTTTTGTCCATGTTACACCCGTACAAGTTTACAGCAATCTGCACATACAAGAAAAATTAATCTCATAATGGAATGTATGTATATACATATATGTATATATGTATGTATGCATTCTATCAATTACCTGTGTTCCAGCAGGGATATAGTAACCTCCTAATTGGGTATCTTCATCAACATATTTTGTAAGAGCTACTGGAACTGGACTGTGCTTCCTCAAAGTTTCGTGGAAAACAGCATTCAGGTATGGCAGCTGGGACAAGTGTTCCTCACTAACCTTGTCGCATCCACAAGCATTTTGGATTTCTTCGTGCAGACGTTCCTGTAATTATTCATTTTAAACACCCGGTCAATATCTCTATGTATCAGCTAGTGAGAAGAGTACCACAAATCTAATAAAAGAAGGGAAATGTTAGGAAGATCAAAATTTTAAATAAAATTTGTAAACTAAATGATGTGTCACTCATAAAAAATAAGCACGTTTATCAACATTTAAGTAATAATTTAATCATAAAAAATTACGATATTTGATTTGCAAATTTGGTCTGTCTAACATTATTTTTAAAAAAATTAAATTAAATAATAAAAAAAAACCATGATGAAAAGAGTAACACAAGTGTCAATCGACCGCGAAAAATAGTCACAAAAAAAAATCATAAATCTAACTGTTATTTTATTTTCGATCAGAAAATGCAGGCAGTCAAGTTCGAGTCCAATCGACGGCGAGATCGTCGCATTTCCCAGCAAAACATACCGGAGAGCTCACTGATCTAACTGTTATTTCACTATCAGTAAAGAGGTGTTTGTCTATGATTTGATTTTTAAAAAGTGTCTCATCTCAATAATATTATTCAAGAAAATTAAACTAATTAATAAGTAAAAAAATTACAAATTAAAGTATCATTTGCATGTAAAAATAAAAATTAGGTATCAAATACTGAGACAATAACCTGTCGTTTTGGATGCTTAGCAAGTTCATACATAGCCCATTCCATTGTTACCACTGTAGTATCCGCTGCCTCAAGAATCGACTCCCAAACAGAAACAGTTATTTGCTCCGTTGTAAGCGTTTTTCCTTCACAAAGCAAGTAGTCCAGAAAACAATTTACCTCCTGTTTCATTAATCCACCAAAGTAATTATATAAACAACCAATCTTTAAAAATAAATAAATAAAAATTATTACAAGCGACCACTAAGACAATCGACCACATGCGTATAAAACAACCAATGAACCAACTTAAATAAACAAAGCCTTTTCCAAATTAAATTAAGAATGATTAGCATATTATTATTAAATTTGAAAGCATGAAATGAATTGAAGGAGCAACCTGTCCGGAAGCAATTCGTTTCATTTGCTCCTCAATCAGGACACTCATTACTGCCTTCCTGCGGAAACAGATATTCTGGATTTTCATTTCCAAGTTCTTGTTGGGAATCCATCTCAGATAAGGAAAGAAGTCTCTCCAATCAGTTTCAGTGGCACCCTTGAGCACATCAGCTACAAGAATCTCAAAAATCTCATTTCTTGACAAAGTAGTTCCAAGCTCCTCCACATAAATTGATCCTTCTACGTTCTTTCCCAAGGCCTGGTAAATTTGATCAAGATCATCAAGTTAGTTACAGTTGTTGAGAATCAATTAACTTAACTGTAATGCCTTGAAGAAAATAAACTCACCTGCTTCAACGAAAGTCCGAAGAGTTCGGGCTCGAACACTTTCTTGAAATTCACAGCTTCATTAGGAGACTTTTTTACATGAGCATGCAATTGGCTTGACACATTTTCTCTCAAGGTATATCTGTGGTTCTGGTGCCGCTTCTGTGTAATATATATATATATATATATATATATATATATATATATATATATATATATATATATTAGATCAACTAGCTAGTTAAATTTTTTGGTTTGTTTAAAAAAATAAAAGCTTTTAGCTATTCCGAAAGCATGCGAACCTGAGCATTGGGTCCAAGAATACTTTGGGCCATGTGACGTCTTCCCATCTTGTGGAAGTCGTTGTAGTTCGATGATGCAATCACAGAGTCATCGAAAGAAAGGCTCTTTATTGGCGTCGTTAGCTTTTTCGATGAAATAGACGAATGTCTAGTCACCATAGCCTGAAGGAAGCAACCGATGTAATAACATTAGAGTTGAAAGTTTTGTGACCATTGATTTTGTGGACTTGAAACAGAATTTCCCAGTGCACACCATATACTGGGAAGAGGAAAGTATCAACATTCTCGATAAATCAAGAGATCGAGGTACGAATATATACCTCTAGAGCCACATCTGCGGTATTGAGGACAACCACAGTGGAAGCACCAGTCCTGATAGAATAGATTGGTCCGTATGTTTCAGCCCAATTTGTAAATGTCTTGTAGGGCTTCTTCTCCTTCATCTGCAACAAATTCCCTACCACCGGCAACCCAGGTACCACTGCAAAAAACATTGGCAAAAAGTAAGGGTGGGAATATCGATCTTTAGGATCTCAGCATATCATTTTAAAAAATGAGAGAGCATTTTATATTTTGAGCTACCTTTCTCAGCAAGCAAATCGGTTTTACAAGGGTAAGTCCTAGTCACGCTTATATCAATTTGATATTGTTGAGAGTATGAATCTCACATCGGAAAAACATGTGCTGATAAATAATTAGACTACTTCACATATTATCAATTGATTTTATGGAACCTCAACTTTCTTTAAGATATGAAAGCGGGTTTCAATACACAATTGGGCTAGTGTGCATGACGGCATGAACATTGTATATAGAGGGCCTATTGACATGCATAAGTGAAAGCGCTTCGTACAATACAAGAAAAACTAGCAATGGTTACTGACTTTGTTGTAAGGGCAAGTTGTACCCAGATTTCTACGAGAATGTTATCGTCGATGCAGATGAATTAGAAGTAGTTACCTGGGACTGGAGGGAGTTTGGCATATGATCCCTTCTTGTTTGTAAAGATGAATCCTTTGATGAAATATTGGAAGAAGAGTAAAGAAAAAGTACCCACCACAACAATGGTGGCAAAGGACATTTTAATGCTTGAAAATCATGAAGAATGTGTTATAATGCACTACCCATGGTTAACATTCCCACAACTATAACAACTGTTGTACAACTTGGAAACTTGCAATAACACAACACATCTTATGAATTTATAGACAGGCAATCACAAGGTCAAACCTTCAATACCCAATGAATAATGCTACACTTATATTTTGTACATTACATTTATATTACTTATATCAATGTGGTATCTGAAAATAAGTGTCGCAAATCAATATAAATTGTTTTCGTTATAAATATTTAATTACACTTGTGCGACTTGGTTATATGTCACATCAGCACATAATATAACTTTTGGTAGAATTTTGGTGAAAGCACTACATTGATTTGCGATATCCAAATGATGTGTCATCAATAGGAAATAAGCACATTAATCAACACTTAAGTAAATTTAATCATCAACATCCACATAATTTGATTTAAAAAATTTAGTTTATAAATTTAATCTCCCTAACATCATTCTGCCATGACATATTTTTTTTAGGGTTGAAATCTTTTCTTGAGAAAAGCAGATGCACAACCACTCCTCATTGGATTCTCAGTGTCAATGCTCCCCATTGGATGATGAAAGTATCAACCAAATAATTAAGTACAACTAGTGATCTGACAAATATTTTTTTTCAGCGTGAACAAACAACCCTACGTACTAGTTGAGCGTTCTACAATTTAAATTTAATCCATCAAACTCATGAACACGACCTTTTAGCTAAAATATACTTTAATCTAGTCATTAATCTTTTTATTTTATTTTTATTGCAACGATAGATATTTCAGCCGGCTTGTAGGATGTGGGTGCATTTGACTAAGATATGATTAATCTAATCACAACAATTCTAGACAATTAACGATTAGACATCAAAACTCCCAATATACATATGCTAATTGGTAGGTGTTGACTAAGATGGGAGACTACACCGGATAATATTTTGGATAGACCAACGATATAATCATTCACATGCTACCAGAGTTTAAAATTTCTTCGGTCAATATTTTCATGGAATTATTCAAAAAATTAGAAAAATATATGAAATGGGTGGAATTGATATATACTGGTGATATTTCTGACATTTGTTAAATATTAAAGAAACTCTTATATTTCCTCCAAACCAATGTTTGATAATCCCTAAAGTTTCATTTTAAATTTCCATCATTTTCTTTCTCGCTTCTTTTTCTTCTATTTTTTTTTTCTGCTTTATGAGCTCTTGTCTCATTTTTGGACATTCTCCACACTCAATGGTAGTTCATCGCCAAACCCGCATTCCCTTGCCATCGCACTCCTCTTTCCTTCCTTCCCCTTGCTCCCCCTCATTTTTCCAACCTTTAATTATAAATTCGGTCTCAAGGTGTTGGGCTATGTCTTAACACTAGAGCCAACCCATACAACTAGCTACTTAGTCACGCCCCGATCCCGACATACGTTAAGAATCGACACTTGACGTCACAAAATATTCAAATATCTAACATATCCCACCTCCGGAATATGTACCCAACACAACTCAAGATTCGAATTGCATAGTAGTTTTTCGTATACTTTATGGCTTCATTTAACCTCTTGTTAGACTACCTATGTATTATAACTAGGGATCAAGCCATTCATAGTTCACCGTTTCACTACACTTGAACATTCATCCCATAAATCACTATGTCTCAACAATATACCACAATGCATATCATGCAATATCTCAATGAACAAACGACGAAGCGCAATCATATTCTCTAGCCATATTGATCAACAAGTCTAATCATAATGCCATCAATCACAACCAACATCATTCCATAACCACATCATCAATAACACATACAATACACCGAAATGCATGGCTAGAGCGACACAGTTCGACTGAAGTCTACATCTCTGAAGGTGTCTCAAATGAATTAATAAGTCAAATGATACGATTTCGGTCCAATCAACGAAATCCATCAACATCGGGTTCTGGACCACTCAATGTAACCAAAACACCAAATGGGATTTCAGATCACTCAACGGAATCCAAACTAGGATATGATTCCGGACCACTCAACGGAATCACGGAATAGAAGGGATTCCAGACCTTTCAACGGAATCCGAGTGGATACGATTCCGGACCACTCAATGGAATCGCAGAGTGTAAGGGCAAGTTGTACCCAGATTTCTACGAGAATGTTATCGTCGATGCAGATGAATTAGAAGTAGTTACCTGGGACTGGAGGGAGTTTGACATATGATCCCTTCTTGTCTGTAAAGATGGATCCTTTGATGAAATATTGGAAGAAGAGTAAAGAAAAAGTACCCACCACAACAATGGTGGCAAAGGACATTTTTAATGCTTGAAAATCATGAAGAATGTGTTATAATGCACTACCCATGGTTAATGAATAATGTTACACTTACATTTTGTATATTACATTTATATTACTTATATCATGTGGTCTCTAAAAATAGGTGTGTTGCAAATCAATATAAATTGTTATTGTTATAAATATTTAATTAGACTTGTGGGACTCAATTCTGTGTCACATCAGTATATAATATAACTTTTGGCAGCATTTTGACGAAAGCATTACATTGATCTGCGACATCGAAATGATGTGTCATCAATAGAAAATAAGCACATTAATCAACACTTAAGTAAATTTAATCATCAACATCCTCATCATTTGATTTAAAAAATTTAGTTTAAAATTTTAATCTCCCTAACTTCACTCTACCATGACATATTTTTTTTAGGGTTGAAATCTTTTCTAGAGAAAAGCAGATGCACAACCATTCCACTGTTTTGACTTTCGAGTTCGACCTTCCCCGAGTTTAACTAATATTTCTTATGAGTCATTGGAAGGATTCTCGGTGTCAATGCTCCTCATTGGATGATGAAAGTATCAACCAAATAATTAAGTACAACTAGTGATCTGACAAATATTTTTTTTCAGCGTGAACAAACAACCCTATGTACTAGTCGAGCGTTCTACAATTTAAATTTAATCCATCAAACTCATGAACACGACCTTTTAGCTAAAATATACTTTACATCTAGTCATTAATCTTTTTATTTTATTTTTATTGCAACGATAGATATTTCATTAAGGGGTGGATGCCAGAAGCCATCAAACCCGGTGAACAAGTCTTACAGAGAAAACTAGACCATAGCCAAGCCAAACAGCAGATTACAAAAAAAGTACCCAGCACAACTCAAGATTCGAATTGCATAGTAATTTTTCGTATACTTTATGACTTCATTTAACCTCCTGTTAGACTGTCTACGTATCCTAACCAGGGATTAAGCCATTCGTAGTTCACCGTTTGACTACACTTGAACATTCATCCCATAAATCGTTATGTCTCAACAATATACCACAATGCATATCATGCAATATCTCAATGAACAAACAATGAAGCACAATCATATTCTCTAGCCATATTGATCAAATCATAGTGTCATCAATCACAACCAACATCATTCCATAACCACATCATCAATAACACATACAATACACCGAAATGCAGGGCTAGAACAACACAGGAAGAATGATGTGATTTCGGTCCACTCAAAGAAATCCATCAACATCGGTTCCAGACCACTCAATGGAACCAAAACACCAAATGGGATTCCAGACCACTCAACGGAATCCAAACCAGGATACGATTCCGGACCACTCAACTAAATCACGGAATATAAGGAATTCCGGACCTTTCAACTGAATCGCGGAATATAAAGGATTCCGAACCTCTCAACGGAATCCGAGTGGATACGATTCCGGACCACTCAACGGAATCGTAGAGTACAATGCATATCGAACCACTAAATAAAATCTAAGCTGGATACAATTCCGAACCACTCAACGGAATCACGGATCACGAGGGTTTCCATACCACTCAACGGAATCCAGACGGAGTAGGGAACCAGACCACTCAATGGAACCCCAGCGTATACCCAGTTCCGAATCACTCAACAGAACCGAGCGGAGGGCCAAGGAATATAGCAATGCTCGAAGAACAAGACATGAAACAAGTACTCAAAATACAAAAGCTCAACGGAACAAGAAATGGAACAAAGCACAAGTTACACAATTAGAATGGCTCAACAAAACAAGAAATGAAACTATGATACGATATGTGAAATAAGTCTCGAAGCAACAAACCTCATGGCAATGGGTTAACGGTCAACTCCTAGCCTTCACATTTCATCACATCATACCAATTATGCAAATCGACCACATTTCAAATGTGCACATCAAATCACATATCACAATCATCATTAGTAGACAAGCCAAATCATGTTTAATAAACATAGGTCTATGGCTAAATATATAAAAATCACATTTAAATAGAAATCACATTTATATAACCATTTCATACTCACAAACGATATTAATGTAAGAAATCAAGCTAATAACCATATCATATATATTTGAGTCACTCTCTAACCAATGTAGACCCACTCCGGGATTTCACACACTTAGTATCCCATAGTGCTAATTTTAATATTTAGAACATTTTGAGACGTGTTGACCAAAAGCCAACCATCGGTCAACGGTAGTGTCCACAACCCTACAAAATTTGATATGGAAGATCCGCCCATAGGATTTCAAATCCATAACCTCCTGAGATCCACTTATGCTCATAGATCAACATACTAAAATCTCATCGCGATCTGACGGTTGGATATCCTCTAATTCCAAGTTCAAGTGGCGGCTAACGTTTGATTTTACAAACTTAGAAATTCAATTCGGGAAGATCCGTGCATCAAATTCCCTATCCGTCAGTTCTTAATATCCTCAAATATTACGTTTAAAGTTTGGTATTGATCCAACGGTCGGATCATCAATTCAAATAATAATAAAGTGATGTACCATAATGAAACTAGGCTTACAATAATCAAATCACATCATACGGATATCAACTATGAGATCTAGATATCAATTTAGCGTAAAATAGCATTGACAGCCCACTGGCCACGTGCCACCGCCCCAACTAGTCAGAAAATTCAACTATTTTAAAAAATTACCAAATTTTACAGAAATGTAGATCTCGATGAACGGAGCAAGTTTCATACATTTGACTAGGGCCAATTTGGCCGTGAAAAGCCTTAAA